CACCCGGCCAGAAGTCACTCGGTTACGAGACAGCCGGAGAATCGATGCCGTCCGCTCACCGCACGCGTTACAGCATCACTGCAGAGCCCTCGCTGCCTGAGTGGGAAGCGTTACCAAGTCTCTCCGAACAAAATTGCCACTAAATGCTGTTTGGGGGAGAAAAAAAAAAAAGAAAAAAAAAAAGAGCAAATCCTCGCTCTTGCTCGGGCATTGTAGGAAATGAAACCGGCTATTGCTGCCTGGTAGAGAGTCCAATTATGAATAATGTGCGTTCTCTCCCTGCACAAAGGATGAAAGGCATCGGAGCTGGGGGTGACATTTTAAGACCGGAGATGTAAGAGCGAATCCGAGCCTCGTTGCAAGCCCAGCTTTACCCCAATAAAGGAGCACCTTCTGCAGTCAATTGCCTTGCAGCGTAGCTTGAAGCCCCGCTATTGATCTAGCATCTGTTATAAGCAGATAATCATCGTCGCTGTGCCGTGGCTTCTACAACGGGATCTAAAAGCACTTTCCAGAAGATATTTGAGGGCTGTTTTTCCGCTCTCACCCACAGCTGCAGGCAGGCAGAGGTTTGCAGGGGAGCCCGGGAAACTCTTGCAGGTTTGCAAAATCTGAAGGCCAGAAAAGACCATTAAATCACTCAGACTCGTTCATCTCCCAACCCTGTAAACTAACCGGGGTGTACTCCCCGCGAGGCTCTGCCTGCCGCTCTGGCCCCAGCCCTCTCACAGCCATTTCATGCCCTGCAATTTCCTTTCCCCAGCGAGGTGCTAATGCACCACCGCTCAAATCCTTCCCTTCTGTAAAACAGACAGCGAGAGCTGCTGAAATCCCCCAGCATCAGGCATTTTTCTCCTGCCCCCAGAAGGTTTCTCAGAGTTTGGCTCACTGAGGTCTGCATCCCAACAGCTCCCGAGCTCCCGCCTGCTTCCCAGCAGTGTGGGGAGGTTTTGGGTCAGGCACCCTCCTCTGAGTTTAGCAAGAAGTGGTCAGAGGTAGGTGAAATCAGGCTGCCAGCACCTGCAAACCCCCCCCTCCCTGCCAGCACAAGCACTTCTTATCCACTTGGCAGATTCCTCTAGTCTCCAAAGAAGGAGAAAAGGATGGGAAATTAAAAATAAATGAACCAAGAGATACACATCCATCAGGAGCCAGGCCTTGTCAGCCCAGGTCCCTGTGCAACCACTTCTTTAATCAAAACCTCATGCAGTTTAAACGCTTGACAGAAGTCTAGAACAGAGATCTTGTTACCCTGAACAGGAAAAGCTGCAACCTTGAAGAATAAAATCACGTTTGTCTGATGGGGTCTATTTTCTTTAAAATCATGCTAAATTACGCTAAGCCCATTCCTAACTGTGACGTTTGAGGTTTCGCCCTACAGATTCCTGTGAGACGCATAGGTGTCTCGTGGGGGTCACCGGAGGTGACGGGAGGAGCAAACTCTTGGGCGGCAGCTGAAGATGTGCCATTTCCAAATCGGTCTGTGACGCCAGCCGTAAATTTTTAAGAGGCTCAAATCAAGAAAAGGATTGCTGATGGATGCGCTCCCCACTTGAAACTCACTTGCGTGATGACAGACGTCAGACTACCTGGCTTACGGCTATGGCACTTGCCTGTTTGCTATTGAGACAGTGTCAGAAACCTTCCAGCTTTCTAGAAACTGCCCGTGTGCCAAGGCTCAGCGAGCTCTTTAAAGCCTCCTGCATGCAGGTTATCTGCCTCTCCTGGCTTGAAAATGTTTGTCCCCGAGGAGCTGTTATTTAATACCTTCCTTAGTTACCAAGGGATGCGAAGTTTCTCCCACCGTTCTGCGGCTTTCTAAACACAGATGGGATTTATTGAAGTTTCTATCGCTCTGACCTCATTAACGTTTTACGGCACGGCTCCAGCGACGCGCCTACTCCTCGCCGGGTACCCCTCAACAGCCCCACGGTGGCTGAGATCTCCCGGCTGTGTTGAACATCCTTGGGGAGTTTTAAGCAACTTCATCCCCAAAACAGCTCCGCTGCTGCCTTTCAGGGCCTCGCCTGCACTGCGCTTCGCACAGGATCGTGGCTCCCAGCAGCTCCTTTCGTAACAGCCGCGGTGGGTGGGAAAGCAGAGACAGCGTGAGGAGGAGAGACGAAAAAAAAAAGGAAAAAAACAGAGAACAGTGCAGGAACACATCCAAGCTACGCCATGGACAACATAACCTGGGGGCCACCTAGGGACAGGAGGGATTTTAATTGGCACAGAGGGGGGAAGCAGAAGAGGGGGTGCGAGCCCTGGTTTCGGTGGGGAAATGCAGCAGGCAACCCCGGGGGGACGTTCATGGTACCCCCCAGCACATGTCTGCAGGGAAGATGGTGGGAATTAGGAGTCCTGAGGCCTTTTTTGGAGAGCTTTTCTCCCATGCAGAGAACAGGAGGGAGCATCAGCACAGCCTGGCTGGAGTCCTGCAAATTGCCCCACTTAGGCTCTGGTCTTCTAAATTGCTCTCTTAACCAAAGTACATAAATCGACCTGACAAGCATCAGGGTTTTCTGTGGAGCCACACTCCCCCACAGCCTTCAGAGTTTGTGCTTCGTCCCCAAACCCTGCCAGTTTTGTCCCGAAGAAATACGCCTGGTGCTTACCAGGGCAAACACCTCGCTATGCTCGAGGCCTCGAGATGCGCCTCCCCATCGGCCGAGCACTGCAGGGAGCCGGGCTTTCCCCACCACATATTTATTCAGAGGCGCTGCACAGCGAGGACAACCCGGCGCCAAATTTTGCAAGAGGCAGACCTGGCCGGAGTTCAGCAGAAACAGGGAATTAAGACACTGAACTAAATCAATGCATCCCCACCCGATTTCTACCCAAATCAGGAATTTCACGCACAGGAGGGGTTTTGACCAGGGTCCCACATGACTTATTAAGCAGAGGGAGCAGAGAGTGCTTGGCATGGCACAGAAATCCAGCTTTTGCACTAAAGCTCCTGCGAGCCCAAAGTAATTCAGATGCAGAAGCGATCTCAGCTGCTGGGAAGGAACTCAAACAGCAAAAGACAAAAGGAGACTGTGCAGGGACGACGCAGAGAAAGAAAGAAGAGCTGCTGGCTAGGTGCAGGCAGGGGACACCGATCACATGGGAAAAAAGGATGGGGTAAAGGAAGCAGGCCAGGAAAATCCAGGGATGGCTGGGGCCACTCCTGCTAAAATGCACCCGACAGTGGGGCCTTACTCAGGGCTGAAGGTCCCGCAGCCCCCTGCAAAAGCCTTCTAGCAGTCCCTGGTGCGAGCCACACGGCGGGACTGGCAGAGCCTGAAAACGCCAGGGAGATGGGTGGGGGTCCGGGTAGAGCAAGCATATGGACAGAGGCACATGGACTGCGAGAGCCACCCGGCCCGCTGCAGCCAGGGAAACGTCTAGTGCCAGGCTCACCTCCCCAGAGCTTTCCACCAACACACCAGCTCAGGTTGCTCACTGCAAACCCATGCAGAGATGCCTTCTGCTCCCAGGCGCAGGCCCTGCACGTCTTGCTTGCAGTGCCACCTGCCGCCAACGGCAATGCTCTTCAGACACTGGAAGGGGACAACAGCAACGCAGAGCAGTGAACTTCCTGCTGTTACATCAGCCTTCCCTGTCCTTTAACAGCAGTCAAACTCTCGATCCAAAAAGCAACGCTGTTTCCCAAGCTGCTGGCGTCCCACGACTCGCAGGCGTAGCAGCAGACGCTAATAAAGTACTTTTTTTCTTTTTCTTTTATGCAGTTTCTCGCTGGAGCCGGTCTCTCCCCCCCGAGACCACATCCTGAATCTTCTCGTTCATTGATTCTTTATGCTAAATGATGACTCCGCAGTCGAAATAATGTGGCATATTCTAGTTCACATTTCAGACACCGTGAGACTTTTTAATAACGAGTTGCATGAAAAATTAGGGAGGCTGCAACAAAGAGCTCCGACGGAGGTTTCCAAAGTGACTCACAGCCAGGAGAGCCGCGCTTTTCCAAAGCCCAGCGTGAGACAATCTCTAGAGCCCCCACGCTCCGAGAGAGCCGAGTCCTCCCCCTCTGGAAAAATAAAGCCTTTTTAAGGAGACTTCCCCAGGGTGAGAATCTCTGCGGGGAGGTTTGGCGGGCGGTTTTGGAAATGTTGGCTGAGATGTCATCTCATTCCCATGAGCACTCGCGGGGAGAAGGTTTCACCCCGCACCTCAGCTGCGCTGCCAAGGGTGCTGCGGGGTGGGAGTCACCTTGTGCTGCAGCCAGCCTGGGCTCCCCACTTGGCACACTGACTCTGCGACGCTCCAAAACGGGGCCGGCAATGATTCTCGCTGCTCTTGCAGGGAGGTAGCAAACCACAGCGGTAAAGGGCAGCAGAGACTCTTCCGGTCTTGGCTCCCAAAGCGCCTATGGCACCCACAGAGACAGCGAGCATCACCCGTGCACAGGTATCACCGCTCCTGCCTAGGGCTGGCTTCTCGTAAGGCTTTGCAGCTCTGCCAGGCTTTAGCATGATGGAGGGGGAATTTCTTCAGGTTAACTTTTAGCTCGCTGTTTTTGCATCCTGCCATTCCCGCAACCAGCCGCCAACACATTTTAAGGGGAAGCAGCAGGCAACGTATCCAGCGCAGCCCCCCTGCCGGCGACTAATGCCATTTATGCTCAGTCCCAGTGGTGACCAGTGCCTGGCTGCTGGGGTGGGAAGTGCAGCACGAGGTGGCTGAAGGACGGGTTTGATTGCTCTGCCCCCTCTCCCAAGCTCAGCTCCCAATTCCTTCTGCATCCCACGCTGGCTCCCACCTTCACCTCCTCTGTGACACCCGTCACAGCCACCCCCAGCCCCAGGAGCTCTCTCTGCAGCACAGCTCCCCGCTCACCCACTTCTAACGCCTCATAACTGAGCACCGCTCACCCCACCCAGCCCTGCAGACTTCCCCAAAACAGGTCTTTCCTCCAGCATGGCCCAAAGGAGATCCCCCTGTAGGTGGCAAAGGAAGGCTAAAAACAACAGGGCAGACAGCACGCAGGCAGCTCTTACCACATTCCAGAAGAGTGGGTTGAAGGCGATGGAGAGGACAGCTGCAATGAAGCCAGAGTCGGTCACGTCCACGTAGCCGAAGAGCCGTGCCATGGCTGTCACATCCACCTGGGGAGGGAGAGCCCAGTTACTGGGGGTGCGGGTTCCCATGGGGGCATCGGGCGTTGCACCCGAATACGGGGCACTTCATCTCAAACCATACCCATCAGCTGCCCTGCAAGAGCGGACAAATCTTTAATTGGCCCCAAGCAGCACGTTGTTACGGCTTGCAAAGCGCTGTGTCAGGGTGCAAAGCCAAGAAGAGGGGCAGGAGATCCTCCAAGCCATCTCCCCCCGCACCTCAGGGGCACCGTGCTCTCAGGGAGCCCCCCCGAATTTGGCACCAGTGCCCAGAAGGACACGGGCACTGCGAGGACACTGCTGCTGTGGGGACAAGCACCAGCCTTACGGGGCAGCTGCCAACCCAAGCGTGTTTCCAAGCCGCAGGGAAAGGAGCACCATTTCACAGCGCCTCAGCGTCCCCAGGGACGGAGGACTGTCCCAGGGATGCTGGTCTGCGTGGAAACTCCAAGCAATGAACTGCGTCAGCCTCAAACTTGCCTTCCATAAAGAAAGAGCGATGCAAACCCCCTCCACAGTGAGGGGGGATAAATCCGCATTGTAAGAAGCTGCAAAAGACCTGTCTTACTTAATGACAACAACAACCCCTTGAAGCTTGCTGGTTTTCCCCCTTTCTCCTTTTAAGAAAGATATATTTTTCCCAGGATGGCTCCCTGACATTGTCAGCATTTTTACGTGCAACAAGCCATGCTGCTTCTCCCTCCCCACCCCCTCTCCCTGCAGTGGCATTTAGATGAAAAACAGCCAGCGTCTTTTTCTTTTTTTTTTCCAAAAACTTTGAAAACAAAAGACAAAATAGCCCAGCCCAAGCCCTTCCCTTGCCTGAATCAAGATCAAGACAACATCGAGCCGTGGAAGGTTTTTGCTTCCCAAACACAGCTGTGTTTGCAAGTCCTTCAGATGCCAGGGGACAGGACAGGCTCAAAAAAGGCATCCGCTCCACCTCACCCATCCCGGACAGAAATTCCCACTGGCTCCTCACAGGTTCTTCGAAGGAACCAGAGCTGCAGTGGGATTCATGGCGAGGGGCTGCTAACCCTGCCGCCTCTTGTAGCCAAGAGCAAAGGCCCTGCGAATAGCTCCCGTGCTGTCCTGAGGCTTGTCCAGCCACTCGGGGGGCCTCTTACACAGCCGCGACCGCTCACAGTGCAAAGTGCATCAGCAAAGGTCGTACCGCCCCAGGAAAACGGGGGGATCCTCACAGCGGGACATGGCTGCCTTCAAACCACCCCAGCTCCCCCAGGCTCCTCCATCCGAGCCCTCGGGACATGGCTGCCGGCGAGGAACAAAGGGAACAAGCCCAGGGCCTGATCCTGACCCATCTCCCCCTATTCCCACCCTCCCTGGCCTCGTCTCCCCTCCCTTCTCCCCTCCAAGCAGCCCTTTACCATCAGACCTCGTCCCTTCAAACCCAGCGCTGTCAAGCCGTAACCCGGGCACCCAGACAGCCGTCGGCGCCGGGGCCGAACTGTCTGGTCCCGCTTCAATTGCAAACCCGTGGGACCAGGACAGCTTCTTTCCTCCCCGTTTCGTACGGCGCTGAGCACACCGCCAAGCACAGGCTGAACAAAAGCTTCTTGACCTACTAACTCCTGGCTGGCAACATCGTTAACACTGCACTCACCTTCTTTTCTCCTCAACAACCAAATTCGCCGCTGCCAGTGGGAAGCAGATTGGCCTGTGCCCAGTACGCGCTTTTAGGGATAAAAGGGGGGAGCCCATTAGGATGAGCTGTCTCTGGCAAGCTGCTGGGACAGCCACCTAACAGGCACAGAACATTCAACTTTGCTCCCTCCTCCCCGATGTGTTATAAATCACAGTGGCAAACGCTGCTCGCTTGCCCGCAGCCCCAAAGTTGGGAAAGGTGAGGGATGGACGGACACCCGGGTGAGATCTGCGTGGGCACCTGGGCAAGAGCTGTACAGACACTGGGGTGAGACCCGTGTGGACACCCGGGTGAGACCTGCACGGGCACCCCGGTGAGAGCTGCATGGGCACCTGGGTGAGAGCTGTACAGACACTGGGGTGAGACCCACAGGGACACCCGGGTGAGAGCTGCACGGGCAGCCAGGCGAGAGCTGCATGGGCACCCGGGTGAACCGGTGGCAG